ACTTGACACAAAGGACTCAGATTTCAAGAAGGAGGAAAGAATGATTTTTCAAAACTACAGACCAGTAGCTTGACTTCAGCCCTGTAAAATATTAAAGGATTTTTGAAAATATATAAAATAAGATGATCTTTTGGAGGTAGCATAAACTCATGGATCATAGATTGTGTCTGATTCATATTATCATCATTGTTTGTCTGGAGTTACTAGATTAATAGACATAGTAGGGGTTATATGAGAAAATGCATATAAACTGTACAGCCTAGCTCTCAACACCAATAGCTCAATAATGACAGCTACTGGTATTATTATGTTAATTTAGCAAAGCATTTGACTCTAATGATATAACAGCTAATAAAAAAATTACTAAGAGCTAGCTCAAGAGTGTGAGCTCTGAACAACTGATACAATAATGGAAATGAAGAATATATTATAGGGAATCAACAGTAGATTAGATGAAGCAGAGGATCCAACCAGCGATGTAGAAGATAAGGTAGCAGAAAACACACAACCAGAACAGCAAAAAGAAAAAAAGAATCTAAAAAATTGAGGAGAGTTTAAAGGGCCTCCAGGACAATATCAAGTGGACCAACATTCACATTATAGGGGTACCAGAAGAAGAAGAGAGAAAGCAAGGAATTAAGAACCTATTTGAAGAAATAATGACAGAAAACTTCCCTAACCTGGTGAAAGAAATGGACATACAAGCCCAGGAAGTGCAGAGAGTCCCAAACAGGATGAACCCAAGGAGGCCAACACCAAGACACATCATAATTAAAAAGCCAAAGCTTAAATACAAAGAGAGAATCTTAAAAGTACCAAGAGAAAAGCAGTTAGTTACCTACCAGGAAGCCTCCATAAGACTGTCAGCTGATTTCTCAACAGAAACTTTGCAGGCAAGAAGGAAGTGGCAGAAAATATTCCAAGTGATGAAAAGCAAGCACATACAACCAAGGTGGTTCTACCCAGCAAAGCTATCATTTAGAATTGAAGGACAGGGGCTGGCCAAGTGACGCGTTGGTTAAGAGCTGGCTTGAGATGCCAGCTCTGAGCAGCAGAGCCCCGGTTCAGATCCCACATGGAGGTCAGTGACACTGCCCTCTATGACTAAGATGGTGAATAACAGCTCGACCTGGAGCTGAGCTGCTGTGAGTCACCGGCGATGGTGTAGGCTGCAGCCCCTGCTGCAATGGGCTGCCATAAGCTACTGTGTGTGGCTGGCATCCAGTGTGAGCGGCTGGCAGCTGGTGTGAACTGCCAAGAGCTGCCATGAGCGACCGTCCAGAGGCTGGTGACTGATCTGCCTCACCCGGGAAGAGCACAATGATCACAATACCAACATGGGCCAGTGAAACAACGTCCTCCACAACTAAACTGAAGAACAAAACGACAGCAACTTATTGTTCCCCTTCCCCCGATTCCCCAGCACTGTTTCCCTCCCCCAATTCCTCAATAAAATCTTTAAAAAAAAAAAAAGAATCAAAGACAGCTAGGAGCCCCTCAGACAAGAAAAAGCTGAAGAAGTTCATCACCACCAAACTAGTGTTACAAGGAATCTTAGAGAGACTTCTTTAAGATGGAAGGGGGAATAAGAATGGAGAAAGGGGGAGGGGTTAAGAAGTACAAATTGGTTGTTACACAGTAGTCACAGGGATGTAGAGTATAGCATAAGGAATATAGTCAATAATATTGTAATAGCTAGGTATGGTGCCAGATAGGTACTAGATCTATCAGGGTGATAGATTGGAACAGGGTTGGGAGCAGAGTGAAAAAGGTGAAGGCATTAAGAAATACAAATTGATAGTTAATACAGTATGGGGAATATAATCAACAATGTTGTAAAGATGTAAGGTGCCAGATGGGCACTGTACTTATCAAGAGGATCATTTCATGGGCTGTGTAGATGCCTGACCAATGTCTATACGCCTGAAGAGCTGAAGTAGAATAATACTGAATGTCAATTATAGCTAAATTATGGGTATATATAGTCACGGGATATGGAGTACAACATAGGGAAGATAGTCGATGATATTGTAACAGCTATATAAGATGTCAGAGGGGTAATAGCTTGCGGGGGGGGGAGTTATCACTTTATGAGGGGTTTAAATGTCTAACTATTACGTTTCTTTGTACACCTGAAACTAATGAAAAAATAAATTAAAAAAAAAGAGTAGAGAAAGCTTATCTAAATTATACGATACTATCAAGTGAAACAATCTATGCATTATTAGAGTCCCAGAAGAAGACGGGAAGAAAGGGAGAGAAAGTTTATTTAAAAAAATAATGGCTAAGAACTTTCCAAAACAGGGGAGAGATTTAAATAGCCAAATTCATGAAGTTCATGTCCCCAAAAAGATTCAACCCCAAAAGATCTTCTCCAAGACCATTATAATTAAACAGTCTAAAATAAAACACAGAGATAATCTTAACACTGCAAGAGAAAAAAATTTTTTTTACATACAAGGGAACCTCCATAAGGCTATCAGAAGATTTCTAAGCAAAAACCTTGCAGGTCAGGATAGAGTAAGATGATATATTCAGTGCTGAAAGACCAAAACAACAACAACAACAAAACAAACAAACAAAAAACTGCCAAAAAAGAGCATTTTATACAACAAAGTTGTCTGTCATTCAGATGAAGGATATATAAAGACTTTCCCAGACAAACAAAAGCTAAGGGAGTTCATCACCTTTAGACGTGCCTTACAAGAAATGTTTAAAAGAGTTCAGACCGAAATGGAAGGGTGTTAATTAGTAACATGAAATCATGTGAAAATACAAAACACACCAATAAAGTAAATATATAGTCAAGTTCAGAATACTCTAACACTGAAAGATGGTGTGTGAATCATTTAACTTGAGTATAAATGTTAAAGGGCAAAGTATTAAAAATTACTATAGCTACAGTAATTTGTTAATGGCTAAAATAAAAAGATGTAAATTACGGCATCAAAAATATCAAATGTGGGGGGAGGAGTAAATGGGTAGAGTGTTTGTATGTGATCAAAGTTAAATTGTTATCAACTTAAAATAGATTGTTAACATCCATAAGGTTTCTTATGTAAGCTTCAGGGTAACCATAAAGCAAAAACCTGCGGTAGATACACAGAAGATAAAGAGAAGGGAATCAAAGCATACTACTAGGGAAAATCAATTCATAAAAGAAGAAAATGAAATAGGAACAAAGGTACTTTAAAACAGCCAGAAAACATTTAACAAGATGGCATTAGTAAGTCCTCACCTTTCAGTAATTACTTTAAATGTAAATGGATTAAATTCTCCAATCAAAAAGCATAGTGGCTGGATAGATGCATATTTTAAAAGATATAACTATATGCTGCCTACAAGACTCACATCAGCTTTAAGGACACACATAGGCTCAAAGTGATGGGATAAAAAAGGTATTCTATGCAAATGGAAACCAAGAGAATAGGGGGAGCTATACTCATATCAGACAAAACAGACTCTAAGTTAAAAACTGTAACAAGTGCAAAAGAGGGTCATTATATGATGATAAAGGGGTCAATTCATCAAGAGGATATGACAATCATAAATATACTCATAAACTGGTACAACCACTTTGAAAAATAGTTCGGCAGTTTCCTAAAAAGTTATCCTTTGACCCAGCCATTCTACTCCGAGGTATTTGCCCAAGAGAAATGAAAACATATGTCCATACAAAGACTTTTAAATGGATGTACAAATAGCAGCTTTATTTGTAATAGCCCCAAACTGTAAGTAACTCAAATGTCCATCAACAGGTGAACGAATAAACAAACTGTGGAATGCTCATATAATGGAATACTATCCAGTAATAAAAAGGAAGGAATTCTTGATAACACGATGGATGAATCTCAAAACAGTCTATGTGAAAGAACTCAGACGAAAAGAGTACATACTGTATGATTCATTTTTATACAATTCAAGGAAATGCAAACTAATGTATAGTGACAGAAAGCAGATCAGTGCCTGTGGAAAGGGGCTGGAGAGTGGCAGGAAGGAGGGATTACAACGGAGCATGAGGAGTCTTTTGAAAGTGATGTGTTCACTATCTTGGGTTTCATGGTTGTATACATGCCATGTCAAAACTTATCAATTTGTCCACTTTAAATATGTTATTATATGCTACTTATGCCTCCATAAAGCTGTTTTTAAAATAAGAGAGAATTTAAAAAATATATAGGAGGCAGGATCAGACAGTGGTGGTAACAAGTTGTATCAGCGAGGCATCACCAGATAAGGGTGAGGCAGGGTTCTTTGTCTTGCAAAGGTATGCTGAGTTAAGTGAGGGCACCAGTGGTCGTGGAGAGGAGCAGAACTGCTTGTTCTCTCAGGTCAGCTGAGGGGTGTAGGCTGGAGTACTAGGTGAAAATCTTTAGGTAGGAGAAAAGATAACACGTCAAAGAAGAGTCGGAGGAGGGATGCTTGACAGGGTAGCCCAGGCAAGTTCTTCGTCCTCCCTTACTTCCGCCCTGTTGCCAAACGGATCCCCAGTAGCCAGCTTTCTATTTCTAAATTTGTGCGAGCAGTTTGTTTTGTATAGATAAAATTGGGTGGTGTCCCAACAGTGAAAGAAACCTCCTGGAATCAGTGATCAGAAATTGCCTCGCCTCCAACAGTAAGGAAATGACGCAAGCGGGAAATCCCGAGTCTCAAACTTCCGCAACCTCGGGTCGGATCCAGTCTCTACACTTCTTCCCCGCCCCTCCCTCCAGCCCCGCCCTGCCTCCTCCTTCCGGATAGGCTCCTCGGGGCGGGGCGGGAAGCCGACTCGGCCCGAGCCCCGCCCACGGCGCGCGTCCCCGCACTGAGCGCGCAACCCAGGCAGAGGCGCTTTACGGCCCCAGAAGAGGGTGGGTCCCGACTTAAGGTAGAAGGCCGAGCTGAGGGGCGGGGAAAGAGGCCTTTTGCGGCAGGACGCAAGTGACGGTGCAGGCGGCGCGACAGCAGCTGGAGGGTAGAGGCGGGTTCGTGTTTTCCGGGCCGAACCGGGCTGTGGGGGGCGCGGGGCCTGGGCAGGGGCGGAAGCCAAAGGCCCGCAGTGACACCATGGGTGAAGGGGAGTGGGGCAGGGGATGCCTTGGGCTGCCTTGGGCGGTGGGTGGGTTTGAGGGGCTGGCGGGCTGGAGTCCTGGGTCCAGGCCGGGGATCTGACCCGTGGTTGGTGTCCCACGAACCCGCAGCGCGTCGCGTCTTGTCCTCGCCATGAGGCCGCAGCAGGCGCCGGTGTCCGGGAAGGTATTCATTCAGCGAGACTACAGCAGTGGCACACGCTGCCAGTTCCAGACCAAGTTCCCCGCGGAGCTGGAGAACCGGGTATGCAGCCGGGCTCCCCGCACCTGCTCTGGGGCGAGGGAGGCAGACTCCTCGGCGAAGGGAGAGGGGTATGGGGTGAAACCCTTGCCGCGAAGTATCTTGCGGCTCTGGGAAGGGGCAGGCATAGAAGGGGTAGGCATAGAAGGGGTGTTGGCCACAGGTGTACGAAGCGGGCCACTAAGCAAGACCTGGTATTTGGAGGAGGGAGAATAAGGCCAGGTCCCCGGGCGTGATTACTTTCAAGAACTCTGGGATGCTCAGTGCCGGGAAATCTGTACCCAGGAGTCTTCTTCCCCTGCTGTCCTCCTCCTCCACCACCACCCTGGGTTATTGACAGCAGTGATGAGGGAGTAATTCCTGGGGCTCCAGGCCACCTAACTTAACATGTTGTGAGCCATATCCCACCCCACCACCCAAGAGGAATCACCCTTCTCGTGACTGGCGTTCGTGGCCATTGTGCTCGCCCCACAGCTCGGCAGAAAGGGTTTATTGAGTGCTGTGCCAGGCGGTGCAGGCAGGCCTTCTTGGAACTTGAAAAACGTTGAGCGTTAGATGGGCCTGGGCAGGGAAATATTAAGAACAAGGCCTTAAACTTCTCATTCCCAGTTATGGTCACTGGGAGCCACCTGGGTTGTTTTGGCTTGCATATCAAAATTGTCATCAGGACATAGGGTCTTTGGGTAATCCTGCATACAGAAATGGAGGAATGGGATGTTTTCCCTTTCTTCAGACTTAGCAAAAAAAAAAAAAAATCGTATCTTATTTTAAAGATCCAATGAAGTGAGCCATGGGAATGTGTGTTTTCTTGTGCCTACATGTGTTCATCCACCCAAAGAGAGACTCTTGGTCTTGAGCCATATTACCTTACATTTGTTTGCTGCTCAGAGATCAATTTCTGGTTAGATGGGAGCAGGTTTTGTGGCTCTTTCCTCTTTGACTAGGAGGAGGGTGAGGGACTGAGAGGTGATTAGGCATGCTGTGGGTGTGGGTCTAAGAAATGCTGGCCATGGAATAAGTGGGTGTAGATGAGTCTGTACTAGAGAAATGTGTAGCAGTCATTTAAAACCAAGGTAGCAAGGTAGGTGGTTCTACCTGATTGCCAAGGTTGGAAAATCAACAATGATCAATTATAGTGCCCTTCAGCTTGATTTATAACCTTGGGCAGGTTAATGGCCCAACCAAGTATGTTTTCTTTAAGTGCAAATTAAAGATCAAACATGCCTAGTAAAGACGGTTTGTAGATTAGCTTGTTTGTGAAATGTCTTGTGAATGCTGCAGTGTACTGTCAGGATGTTATGAATTAACTCATCCTGACACTAGGTGGACATTGCCACAGGGGTTTGAGGAGGTAGAAATTGAGCAAGTTGTCTATTGGCTAAAGCTACTGAATGTTGTTTTTAAAATAATTTAACATCACACTTAACATGTTTTACATGTTAGGACTTATATGAAATGGATCAAATGTTTTATTTTTAAGCCTCTTATAGAAACTCTGACTTAAACTATTTATATACTTTCAAGTCAGAATGTACACTATTTTCACCGCATTTACCTGGATGTTACAAGATTCCTTTGTCAAACTACAAACTCATAGTTGAGCCAAATGTATATATGCGGAATCAGACATTAGCCCTCCACTCTGTGTGGTAGAGCCTTTATTTTATAGTCGGAATACAGAATCACAATGTAGTCACAGTACTCCACTGTTTCTTACAGGAAATTGTTCTTTCTAAATTCTGGAGTCCTTTTATTTTTTTGACTTCATACAGGCCATAACTTCTTGTAATTCTGAGTACTTACTATATGGAATGTTATATGATGCTGCTCAGTTGTGCCTTTGAATTTTTTTTCTTTTTAAATGTTTGGGTTAAAACACTAGCTTATATTTAAACTGCTTAGGAAAGCTTTGATTTTTTTTTTCTGTGTTGAGACTAAATTTAAATTACAGGTTTAAATGTTCCTTGTTTTGCTTGATGGAAAATTGAAAGGTTTCTCTCTTTGTTTCTCAGCTAACCTTAGAAATTGTACTGATTGCTCTGCCACTGAGGCTGATTTTCCTTTTGTGAAAACATCACACTTGGCAACTTAATAGAGGAAGAAACTAATATACAAGTGTTTTGTATTACTTTAAAGCATTAAAAACACACACATTTGTACCCTTTAATTTGGGAGTGAGGGCAAGTTCTGTCTATTAACAAGTTTACTTTCTCCGCTGCCTGTTAAAATGTAGTACTTTGATGCTGAAGTACTTCGTTGACAGGACAGTTCTTTAAAGGAAACTTGATTCTTACTTTAGCCAAAACACAGACCACCTTAGGCACCTTTGGTCTGAGTAGAAGAGAAATGCAACAATTACTAGTCAGGCATTTGTTCCCCTACATACTTTTAAAAATATGTCTCTACATCTGGTCAGTAGAAATTACCTTTGACTTCTGATCACTTCAAGCTTTAGCCCTATGCTTTCTATCATGCAAGTTCTACAAGAAACACAAATTCTAGGAAAATGAGCCTGATTCCTGTCTCCATTGTGACTTCCAATATTTATTGATCCAATTTTGTATTTGGCTCCAACTTGGGATATCTCCAAATTCTTAAGTCGTTCCTATATCAATGTCTAAGTACCTAGGTGAGGACACTCACTAACAGCCGTGCTTCATAGAGCCTAAGGAAGTGAGATGAAATGCCCACACTTGTCCTGTTGAGCCCTGGCATGTTAAGTATGTTCTTTGCCTTTACTGCTGCCTACTATGCTTTTTGCCTTTTTTCTCCTTTTCAGAGTAACCTTTCAAAGAAATTCTTGGCTTTTTTTAAACCTTTATTTCTTTTTTCTTAACCGTTCAAAAAAAAAATCCTATAAAACACAAATCAATTAAAACAAACAACAAAAATAATTAAAATATCCTTCACCTTGTGTTTTAGTTTGTTTGTTTAATGACCTGTGATTTGCCTCCATCCTGTAAAGCATTAGGCACTCTTGGAATAACTTTTCAGAATTAGTGTTGCTAGTGTGATTGGTAATTCTGATCTGAAAGAAATAAAATGTTTCTGGTTTGGATCCCATGGTTTTGAATTGTATTGTGTCCAAAGAAGTGTTACTGATTCAAGTAACTTTCTTGATCAGATCATAATATTGTAGGTAAATCAAATGTGTTTGAAATTATTTAGACTTTTGTGAATTTACTGATGGACAAACTGAAGGCATTAATTTAGGCGTAATTAGGTGAAGATTAAAATTAGGTGTAATCTTGTCATATTTCTTCACTAAACTATTATCCTAAGTCTTTTTAGGGAATGAGAACTCTGACATAGGTTCTACAGATGACCTTTCTTGACACACCACATCTTCAAGTGGTGGCTCAGTGAAGGAACAGTGCCCTGGCTTTCAGCACAGTCTCTACCCACCCAGCCCTTGTCAGAAACGCCAGTATTCTGGGAAATTGAAAGTAGCTCCTTTTGAAAAACAGGTAGAGCCACCACTACTTTAAAGTTTACATTCAAGCTTTTCCATGACATTGGCTCATTGTATCCTCAGAGTTTTCACATGAAGGATAAAATGATTACAACTGACTCTAACCTATTTTAATAGCTTAAGAGTTTTGTTCATAAATTCTTTTATACTTTAAAAAAATAATGTTCTTAAGATTATTTTGTCTCACTTAATATTGAGGTTCTTTGACTTTTTTCTGAGTATTTCTACATAAGACTTCATAAAAGAGAGAATTCATGTGTAAGTAGTTATTAGTTTCAGGAACAAGGGAAATATGTGAAAGAAGGCCTAGAGTAAGGACAGATAAATTGTGCTTTGTTACCAAGAATGATAGTATGGGATGAAATTCTCTACTAATGGGCCTTGAAAGTCTGAGGGTAAAATATTGAGATTTAAATTCTACAAAGTACTATTAGAAAATTAAGTGATATTAGAAAAAGAAGGTAAAAGCAAATGATTAGAGTGAAAAATGGATGACAGTAATATCAGTGTAAATGCAATGGTGTCACTGACTAGAAAGAGGTAATAGGAATGACTTAGTATGTAGAGTTGTGTAGTAGTTTGAGATTTTGCCTTGTTCAGTGTGAGCTTTTAGTACCAAATAGTTACTTTAAAAGTAATGGGATATTGAGTAAATAGAATACAAAACTTGTACCTTTGATCTTTCTGCTTAAAATGTCCTTCCCTTTTTTTTGCTTAGTAAATTCCAGTCTTAGGGATTCCGTTTAAGATCACCTGCTCTTTCCAGATAAAGGGAACTTCTGCCTTTTCCCACACACACCATACTTTATATATGCCTCTATTGTAGTACTCTGTCAATTTATTGCATTTTTATGTTTACATGTTAGTTCTGCTTACATGACTGTAAACTCTTTGAGGACGGAAACAGTGTCTTATTCATCTTTCTCTAAGACCTATGTAACAGTAGGTGTTCAGTAAATGTGAATATGAATGAATGGAAAGATCGAAGAATTATATGATTTAATTTACTTAAAATTCAGTATAGAGAATAAGGAAACACCATATGAGCCTTGAAAATATCCAGTGTTCATAATACAGATAAACACTAAGCAGCTTCAGTAACTTAGGTCCAGATTTAATTACCTAAAATCGTTTGCCAACTATTAGATACAAATTTTGACAAAACATCAAAATAAATTAGTGATGGCAAACATTAGTGAGTTGCTGATCTTTTTTTCTGAAACTTATTTATAAATTCCTTTTTCCATACAGATTGATAGGCAGCAGTTTGAAGAAACAGTTCGAACTCTAAATAACCTTTATGCAGAAGCAGAGAAGCTTGGGGGTCAATCATATCTTGAAGGCTGTTTGGCTTGTTTAACAGCATACACCATCTTCTTATGCATGGAAACTCATTATGAGAAGGTAAGGGTACATTTGTTTTCACAAAACCTCTTAAAATCATGAAGAAGGTGAGTTTATTACATGTTTATGTTTACAAGATGGCAAATGCCATAAAGAGGCATTTATACTAATAATAATTTGTATTATGTTGTTGCACCAATGTCCAGAACACATAGAAAAGAGTCCTGGGTCTTTCAGAAACAGGTCAAAATTGATATGTCTACTGGAGCTGATGTATAAATGTTCAAATTGGCTTACACTTAAGAAGAAAGTATAAAATCTATATTTTCATTCTACCCAGCTTTCTGAGATTCCTTTTACTTTATTTCCAAATTTCTATCTTCAGTCTTATCCTCCCACTTGAGTTTTTGTCTTCTCTTTCCAACTGCCTGCTAGACCCAGAGTTACCAGCTTCTCAATTTAGATGTCCAAAATCAAGCCTCACATCTCCCCATTTTGTTTAATAGCACCCTGTCTTTTTCAGTACCATCGTTAGGTGTAGAGGATGAAGAAGAAGCAAAACTTTATCAGTTGTCAGAGACTGAAATATCTTCCATTTTCCCATTCACTAACTTTTCATGATTTCCTCTGTTATTATCCTAATTTATGTCCCTTTTACCTCTCTCCTACACTATTGATATAGTCTCCTGACAAGTCTCATTTCTTCCATTCTTTTACTTTTCCAGCCAGTCTGCTGCTGTCTTCATACAACACAGTCTACTTCTCCACTTCTCCTACCACTCCTGCTATGTCAGGCCTTCACTGACTTCCCTTTATTAAAGCCCTGTGTAATGTTCGAGCCCCTTCTCGGGCTGACGTCCAGCTTACCTTTTCAGCTCTGTCTCCCTCCCCTGCCTCCCTTTATCTTCCAGCCAAACTCTGATACTCTCTGGTCACCAACCAAACATATGCCCAAAGTTTTCCTCCACCTAGATGCCCTTCTTCCCATGTTCAGTTCTCAGCAGTCCCTTACATCCCACTTTCATCTAACTTTTCCTTGCTCTTCTAATCAGAGTATTTTTCCCCCTTTGTACCCCACAACATTTTATTTGTATCTGTTTTCTGGCACTATCACTCTCTACTTTGAAATGTAGCAGTTTACATCCTTATTTTCCCTGTCAAGTATGTATTTTTCTTGAGGTCAAGGACAGTGCCTTAATCATTTTGTATCCTCTTCATGCCAATACCATTTTGTAGGTATATTAGGCACTCATTGAATGTATGTTAAAGGAATGAATTTAAGTTAATCACAGTGAACCCCTAATATCCATTAAATTCTGACAATGTTTAGAAAATGAAATGCTGTAAAGATACCTATATTATACCCCATCTAATAGAAATGTCCCTGTGATTGTCTTGTAGTCCATGTAGTAAAGAGCAGATACTGTTGCAGCTAACGTATTCGGAGCTAGTGTTACAAAAAGGGTATGTTTAAGTGAATGAATAAGTAGTTTATATCCTTCTACATATCATACAGAGAAGCAGCTAACTTTCATTCCTGTTTAATGTTCAAAATCTTAAGTTATAAAGAATCAGTATCAGCTTTCAGTCTGGTTTGTCTTAGCAGCTTCTCTTTAATAATAGTTTTGCTGAGTGAAGGGACAGGGGATTCATTCATTCATTCATTCATTCATTCATTCATTCGATAAAGACTTATTGAAAGCCTACCATGTGGTAAGCAGTATGCAGGGGATATAACTGAATAGGGCAAACCTTGTGGAGTTTATAATTTAGTGGTAATCACTGATAATAAGGAAACAAAACCAACAAACTTGCAAATTATGGTAAGTGCCTTGAAGAAAACAAACCCTCCTGTGGTAAGGCCTCTGAAGTGGTAACATTTAAGCTGTTGTGTGAAGGATGAAAAGCCTGGGGCCATTAAGGCAGAGAGAGCAATACTATATGTAAAGGCCTCAAGAACTACCTGAGTCCTAGGGAGAGGCCTAGAAATGAATTTGGAGAGGTCTGGAGGAGCTGTTTCATGCAGGAGCGTGTAGTCCATGGAAAGAAGTTTAGATTTTATTTTCAGTGCGAGGAAGCTACTCAAAGGTTTTAAGCAGGAGAGGGATATGATCAGATTTTCATTTTAAAGAGATCTCTTTGCTCTATGAAAACAAGTTATAAAAGTGTAAGTAGGGAAACCAATTCGGATGCTCCGTAGAAGAAGTCCAGGCAAGAGACGATAATAGCCTGGACAAGGAGCAGAGCTGGAGAGATGGAAGGAGGTGAACAAATTCAAGGGGTATATTGATAGTAGAACCAAGACTTGATAAAGAGCTGAATGTAGAAGGGGAGTGTGAGGCTGAATCATATGGATAAAAACTTGGTCAGCCAGGGATGGTCATAAAGAAATATATAATATTGCCGATTTAAGTTAGAAATACATCCTCCAGATCATTTTATTCATGCTTAGTGGAATATTAGATGCTTGAGTTGTCATGTCACTATAGCTTTTAAATTTGTTGATAAGGTTTTAATTAACTCTTACTTATCCATGTGCATTTGCTGAAGTAGACATTCTTCTGATGTCAGTTATAATAAGAAATTGGTAATTGGGTACCAGCCAAGTCATTTACTAATTATGGGATCATGGACAAGTTAATCTCTCTGAGTCAGAGTATTTTCAACTATAAAATGAGCTTTAGATTAATAAATTGTCTCACATATGGTAGATGCTTAAAAAAAGTGTTTTCTTAAAGATAGATTTAAAAATTAAGTTAGTATGTACATATATATTTTTTAATCAGATATTTGTGAACGGACATGTGATTTTTTTATTTCAAGTATAATCTTTTTAGCAGCTGCTAGTTTATTTAGCTGCTAAAATATTTAGCAGCTCTTAATTAAAATTCTCAGTATCAGAAATACAGTGGAAATTGATTGATCCCAGCATATGTTTTAACTTGGGTTCTAGGCAGTATATATGGTACTACTTTATAAGTCTAATCAAGGTCTCTTTAACAGAGTATTATAAAGCAAGTAAAGAGCAGATAAAATTGGTCAAGAAACCAAAATTTAAGGCATGGTCACGTTTTTTTGTTTGTTTGTTTTTTAAGCTGAGCCATCCTGCTACCTGTTGGCAGCTCAGCGGCTGCTCAGCTCGGGCTGGACTTGAACCGCTGTTGCTCAGAGCTCAAACTCTTGAGCGAGCTCTTAACCAACTGAGCCACTCGCCCGGCCCTGGTCACCTTTTTTTAAATAGGTCATTTTACTTTAGAAACTGGACATAAATAACTAGATCATGGAAAGTGAATAATTAAAATGGTCATAATTAAGATATAATGTACTTATGCTTTTAAAAGAAGCTTTTTAAATGTGTTTTTGTATTTTTGATAAAAATATATAAACAACCACCCTCTCCCTCTCTCTAGTTTGTTCTTTAGGAATTTCCGTACTATTACTTTCTACTTCATGACAGGACAGGATTGAGTCATTTAGTCTTGATTGTTTTAGACACTAAAATTTCTAGTCTACAAACAGTCAGCCAAATGTAATAGTGCTTACACTTTGTCACATGGCTTAAATTTTTTGAAATTGTAAATAGGCCTTTGAAAACTCACTAGAACAATCATGCATTTATTTTCCTATAATGTGCTATTTATTGATTTAAAATGAAGATAAAGACTTCAGTGTTATTGCTCTTTGTTGCTGCCCATTATAATTAGGGAACAAATGGGCTTGTAGAGGTTCTCTCAGTAGCTGTCTGCCCTGTTCATCAACAAGAAAGCATCCCTTCTAAGTGCTGTTTCTGTAACAAAAATACAGTTTAAAGGAACTTAGATACTTTCTAAAAATATTATGATCCTGGTGTTCTCACTTAGCCTCATTTAGGATATTTTTCTCAAGCGTCTAGTAGGCTTTCTCCAGTTTAATATTCTTGAGGAGAAAAACAGTCTTTCCTGAGGTTTGATTGTAAACAGCTTTGTAAATATTATACAAATTGAGGTGTTATTGAGGGTTTGGGGATAACAGATAAGTTCAAAATTATAGTTCGTTTTGACACTGACTTACCAAAAATAGTAAGGTGTGAGTGAAATCTCCACATAAGGCTTCTTGGAGGTGAGAATGGTGCTTTGTCCTGTCTGGGATGCAGTATGAGTTTACTCATATTAATGCTTTCCTATTGCTAAAGCATCTTGTTTAGGACAGTGCTGCCTTCATCAAAATAGTATAAGAGGATTTGAAATTTATACAAAAAGTTCTTTCTAAACTGATACCCAAGTGCACGTGATTGTTATTAAAAGTTTGAATAAAAACCTGCACAACAAAGTTGTGCTTGAATCAAATAAAGGAATGCTGTTTCTTAGCTAGTACGTAACCTGTACACAAGGAGAGAGGGAGGAAAGCTGTTCTGAAGGAATCCTTTCTTTGAAACCAGCCATGCAAGCATTTTTCTGAGTGTCCCCCTTGTATAAATGGACCTTGGTGAGGGGAGACTGACTCTCTAATTTCCAATTCTGGCAGGTGAGCTGAGAAGGAAATTGAAGAGAAGATTAAGAGTCCTTGAGCTGGGCACATTTAGGGGCTACATCATTCTATTCATTATTTCAGTATGATTGACAAACTCAAGATAGTGCCTAAGGGGTTTTTGTTGTTGTTGTTGTTTGTCCATAAAGACCAAGCACAAATTCTTGGAGAGTTGAATGTAGAATGATATATGTATTACTTCAGGTAATTAGGTGAAAAAATATTTTCTTTAGAAATAGTATTCTTAATTTTTTACGTAAGAACCCTGCAGCTTGCTCTTTTAATAATATCATGCTTTTTTTAAGAAAAGCTTAAAACATGAGATTGTATTATTCCCAAAGATGTAACCCGAATAAACTATTGGGTTGTCGGAAAAGTCATTATGCATTTTTGCAATGAAAAACATAGAAAAAAATACGTCATGACTTTTCCGACAACCCAATATTGAAATTATTTTCGTTCAATAAGAAAATTTGTTATACAAACTAAATAGAGTTTTAAATTCTTAAATCAGTTTATACTAAAGCACCTAAATTGTAACATCATAAATTGTTTGGCCTGGTACATTATAGACCCACACTTAAATCATTTCTTAATTTCCAACTTTATTTTCATAAGTTCTTTTTTCCCTTTAAGTTGTGATCACATTTATCTGTGATTATCATATGCTGATAGTGTGAATTTAAGAAAATATATAGTAACTAAAGAACTGGATCAAAGCCTTTTTGAACAGTAGAGCCAGAAAAGGGTTCTGATGACTTTGAATCTGAAATAAAACATGTAACTCTTTGATTTTGTATATAGTTATTAAGATTTATTTTCTTCTAGCTTATCTGCCTCAGAATTGCCCTTATTAAATTGGGAGATTTGGCAATTTCCAGAAGTTCCTTTGTATCCTATCTGGTTTTTGTCTACATTTGCTTTGACTTTTACAACCTTAATACTAAACTTATAAATTGAGGTTCCATCTAGGACACAAAAGAAAACTCAGAGTAGCATTACATGCAGTCATAGAAATGATATAAGACACTTGTAGTCATCACAAACTCCATGGCAGCTAATGCCTACATGTTTTACAAAGGAAGTAAACTGTTCCGTTTCAAACTAACTGGACTACCTTTTGTTACAAGCCCACTTTGTATCATTACTTAAAATTGATGAGAACATACAAAGGAAAGAAGCAGCAGTTCTGAAGTGTTAAAGGGGAAGGCCAAGGACTACCCTTGATAGTAAAGGATGTCACATTAACAACACTTTCTGAGTAGGGAAAGAGAAAAGCATAACTAACCATTGTGTATGTAATCATCTATTTATTTCTCTATATCCAGGATTGAGGTGACTAGGAGGTAAGGAGGGGGATTGGTTCTCATGCTTTTGTTTGCATTTGTACTTACACTGCTCTGAAAATACTTGTGACTAAAGAGTCCCTCATGCTGTGCTATGTTGTGTGTAACTAGTGTGAGCCAAATAATCAGAGCCGTATCCCTCCATATGAATAGCCATGACTTGTTTTGAAAACTAATTCCACTGTCTGAATATTTTGAGATTCAGCTGATACTTAAAGGGGCATTCTGATGAAATTTGTAACAAGCTATGGTGTTTCTTTCTGTCAGGTTCTGAAGAAAGTCTCCAAATACATTCAAGAGCAGAATGAGAAGATATATGCTCCCCAAGGCCTCCTCCTGACAGATCCTATTGAGAGAGGACTTCGAGTTGTATCTTTTTAGACCGGATCATAAGATCTAAATATCTATTGTAAAAATATTGTAAAAATATCTATTGAGAAAGTTTCAATGGTACTATTTGGCATTGGCTAAATTTAACTCCCTTCTCTTGTCTTTGTGAATGGCATACCTACCATAAGCCTCCTATCTCCAACATTTTTTCTTAAAACACGTCTCTCCTTCCTTTCGCTGTGCAGGTCTCTGTGGATTGTTTAGTATTCTGGTTACTGTCTTGGTGGTTTTGAGGGCATCTTGTAGTAATAATGGGGGTGGTATGAGTAATGCATTTCAGCTGCAGAAACTCTGAACCTAAAGCCCCTTTGAAATGCATAAACTCATAATGTGTGGTGAGACTTGTCATCCAAATGAATTGCAGTTCCTTGGGTTCATCTGACTAGTTGAAATCAGTTGCAGCTGCCAGATGTATAATTTCATTACCTTTGACATACTGTGCATATTTTTAGAGGCAGTAAGCTTTGAAAATCACTAAGTGAATTTGGTAAATAAAATTGCAAAAAGTTAATTTAGCTTGATAACTGGAGTAATGGATAAAATAAATTTTTTTAAAAACCTAGGTCAGATAATCCCAGGCCTTCCTGCTGATAATTTCAGCAGTTTTATTATACTCTGCAGGGATGGTTCTTACATTTTTAGAGGTCATGAACCCTTTCCCAAGAAAAAAAGTTTGCATATAATTTCAGAGCATTTTGAACCCCTGAATTTATTACCTCCATAGAGTCTCAGTTAATAACCCCCTAATTCTACAATAAAGTATTCTTTTTCAGAACTTTTTTTTTTTCAAAAATAAATAATCAATGTTTAGGGAGGAGCTACATGTAGAATACTACAAGCAGTTACATTTCTTAAATTTTTCAGCAATGTGGAAAAAGCATCGTCTTTAACTTAAGTAGAAGTTTTTCATAATTTAAAAATAAACAAGGCAAATTGAAAGAAAAGTCTGTGCAGATCTTATACATCATCTTGCCATAGTCCCAGTTTACATGTTATATTCTATAGTGTGTTTTCTTAACAGCCATGCTGTTTAGATTGAAATTACCATTTATGAAGACAGAGGCATGAGCAGTGGAAGATAAACCATAGAATTAAAGGTAAATATGAAATTATATGATTTACATGTAATTTTTGTAATTGTGTAGGATGCATGAATTTTCTTCCCTGCATGGTAAATAAGCTATTAAATAGTGGCATATTCTCTGTATTGGCTTCACATTTAAGGTGTGTATTTAACCCAAGTTCTATTTATTAATACAGAATTTAATCAGGATTTCTTCCCCTGGTATTGTTTTCATACTGGTCTGGTTTTTTTTTTTTACTTTGTTTTTCAGGTTTTGTTAATTTTGTATGTGGGGGGCGGGTTATCTTATTTTAATATTTCAAAGCTATCATAGGCATTTAAATAGTTGGATTTTGTACATAAGATTCAGTTCAGATATATTCCCTGCCTATATGACAAATGGCTTTAAAAACAAACAAAAAAATTTATAGTGGAGTGGGGAAATTATGACTATTTCATAGCCCTGTAAGAAAACCTTAACCTCTAGTGGGCAGAACCATAAATTTAATTCTTTTACTTCAAATGTTTATGTTCTTATATATTCATCAAATGACCTTGAGTAAGTGAGAAACAAATTAGGTAATATTAACAGAAATCTACAGGCAAAATCATGTAGAATCCATAATACATTAGCATAGCCTTCTAAGTGACAGAAAATCCTACTTTACTGTTTCTGCCAATTTCAGTCATTTACTCTTTTTACAAGTAGTGTTCTGCTGCTGTGCTTTTCTGATTAACTTTGTTTACAGGTATCTTATCACTAATTAACAGGCAGCACAGAGATAGAATCTACCAAAGCAAACATATTCCTTCCTAGGGCAACAATAATAATAGCTACTCTGAGGTTACCTACTATGTGCCAGGTATTATACAAAAATGGTGCTTCTAATTTTCATAAGAATTCTGCCAAGTATTTCTCCATTTTACAGATATGCAAACCAAGGTACAAATAGATTAAATGTTCTCAAAGTCACACAGCTAATGAGTATTGGAATATGAACCCAAGTCTGATTGACCATAAAACCTCTGTTTTTTATACCATAATTCTTGTAAGTACTTGCAGCAGCAAAAATATGGAAAATAGGAAGAGTTCACCAGATTATTCTAAGTATTTAGTCTCTTCTTTTTCAATACTTTAAAAATACATTTTTGTGTGCTCGTGTACCATTTATTGAATCTTACAGACCAGCTGACATTCCAAAGCTGCCTTCTTTAAGCAAAGTGAATATGTCACCTGTCTTGAAAGCCAAAGACCTAAATGAGGATATCATCTGCCATACTTTTATTTCTTTAAAAAAGGCTTTGTTTTGGAACACTTAGTGTTTTTTGTCCATACACTTTCTCATGTACAATTTCCAAACTGATATTTCTCAAATGAGCAGTCAGGAACCTTATGTGTGGTTTTTGTTTTATGCCATTAGAATAAGTTTGTTTTATCAACTGCAGCTGCATTGACTTGGCACAACATTTGTCATGACTCATTTTGCAGCTATTATTGCTAAATATAATGCTTTTCTGAAGTGGTGTGGGGTTTTAAGCAATTACAAACCAGAGACTAATCTATCAATATTCAAACAACTGTGAAATTTTGAAATGGAAAAGATTTACATTAGGAACTTCTGGATAGTTTCATGAATGCAAATATTTTTGTTCAGCACAATTTAATTTTCAGAGCTATATGTTCCTCAGGCCGAAGATCCAGTGTGGGCTGAACTCTTGGAGGAGGGGAGAAAACTAAAATTCAGTTCTACCATTTTTCTTAAGTCTACAAGGTGTCTGCAGGTTTAAGCATTATATGGGAATTGAACTAATGATTTAACCCTCCATTGGGCGCAACTGATCTCACAGATTCATTGCACACAAATTTTCAAATATCTAACAGTTAACTTAAGTATCGTGACTCATCGCTTCTGTATCTTCCCCTCTACCGTAACCTCTCGCCAGTCGTGTTTGTGACTCAGTACAGTAAAGACGTATTTCACAGCAGCATCTTTGTGTGCAATGAATCTGTGAGATCAGTTGCACCCGACAGAGGATTAACAAAAGAGGACACAAATCATGGCGATGGTCTTTATTTTAAAAAGATCTTTAAACAAAAATATTTGGTTCTTTTGAAGTTTAATTTTTTAAATATCTTTATTATTAAATAGACTGATGGTGTTTTCCTTTCTTTGGATTAAGATTGTCTTTAGTTTAAAAAATGGAATATATTATTCTGTGGAATATATCATTATTCTAGCACAGTAAATTCATGATAATAAAAATAGCTAACATTTGTTATGTGTCTGCACTGTGGTAAATGCTTAATTTAAATAATCACAACAACCTTAAGAGGTACATACTATTATCCCAATTTTTCAGGTGAGGAGACTCAGGCACAGAGAACTTAAGTTACTTGTCCAAGGCTGAAAACTAGTAGGTGGAGATCAAGGCAGCTTGGCCCCAGATTTGCCACTTAACCCCCGTGCTATACAACCTCTCATGACATGATTGGTCAGAGAGCAAAACATAACAGGGCTTGGATTTCTTCTATTGAGCTATGTACTCACTTAGGCACATAGTACAGATTCAGGTATTTTATATTGTAGATAGAAACCTGGGTAATAGAACATAGCCGACATATTAGGCACTCATCAGTTGGTATAAGAAAGATTTTTTAGAGGTTATTTGTAGCATCCTTTTTTAAAACTTTTCCTTTTCCCCTCTGATTATAGATCCCAACTCCAGCTGGGACCCTTTATCCACTGGCCAATTGCAGAGTGTCCCCTACCTCCTCTCCAGAGCGTCATTCCTTTGTAACTGCTGCCAGAGCCACGGTGCCATTTACTCCAAGGACTAACTTTCTAAAATTCCACACCTGGAGTGACCTCTAGTTGCTCAGCATCCACTTTGTGTCTCCAAATTATGTAGGACTCTGTAATCTTTTGATTAGTTTCTGAGAAAATACAGTGAAGCATTTCACTTTTTTTATCCAAAGCCATTAATAAAATATGCAGTTGGACAGCCCAACGCAAAGTTTATTTCTTCTCTGCCACCAGTACCAATGGTTCTCTTCTTTCCTGGGGCCAGCTTCCCAGGTGGCTGTAGACTTCAAGGTGATGTTAGCCAGTGTTCAGTCTTATTCCCCCAAATGAATAAAATGCTTTTCTCCAGGATTTTGGTGAAAGGTAGGCTGTGTCTGTGGTTTTGCTAACGCATCTCCCAGATTTCAAAGAACTACCAGTTTTGCCATAACTCATACCTTAAAGATCTGTTTCTGCTGTTCAGTTTCTGAAACTGAAACTCATTGGAAAAATAATGTGTAATGTTATTTGTTTTATTATAGCAGTTATTCCTAATTAAAGCAGTATTTAATGCAATTTCCAGTCATTTTTCTTTGGAGAGTTTTGTGATTATTGTATTATCTTAAATGTCGGAAAAATGTGGTATTGTTTGTTCCTTACAAAAATAAGCAAGCACAATACAGTGGATGCTAAACCATCAAACACATAAATGTCCCTGCTGTGTCCCTGAAAGTGTAATAAGCCAGTGTAATAAATATTTTACTTATAGTTTTGTTATAAATATAACTTATGAGAAAAAAATTTGATAGGAACAATACTGTATATTGCTAATTTTTAACTATCCCTACTGGCAAACCTTATGATTATAGACTTTCCTCATATACAGTATTCAGTGCACAGAAATCTTATGATTGTTTCAAGTACAGTAAGTTAAGTCATTTCCAACTAAAACTCTCAAGTCTGAGTCAGTATTTCTAGTTCTTTTGGCTGTACGTTCTTAGTATCAGGGCATCTTATGCCCTTCATTCATATATGGGGTTTGAGAGCACCATATTTGGGAGAGAGCTAAGAAGTATATCAGAAGAGAATGAAACAGTTAAAAGTTTTACTTTCAGAGATATTGTAGGTGCTAATACTGGATTTAATCTTTCAGATTTAATTTCTTTTATGGGTCTGTTAGTTATTCAATAAATCCCATAGGTCTGTGTAATATTTTAATTGTATAAAACTCCTTTGTTACTTTATAGCCTGTAATAATAATGTCTGTCTGCCTTTTAAACCTGTTGCAATAACTTTGCTGAAATATTAACACATTAGTAAAACTTTTCTTAAACAAATTGTCTCTGTGTCATGTTTGGTGTGATTTGGAAATGTGATAAATGATGTGGCATTAAATTTGGCAGATAGACAATATGCAGCACTAGAATTACCGATGCAGTGTAGCTTTGTATTTTTGAACAGATATCTCACATTTATATAGTTTGTCACACTTTTCAGTGTTTTCCATGCTTTATTTCATATGAGCAGGTATGTTAGCTGAATAGATAAAAACCAAGAAATAGTCCCTAACAGTCAAAAATGTATTCAATTAAAGAAATAAGAGATCGGGATGTTTTATTAGGAAAAAAAGTATCGCATTTATTGTTACTGTCTTGGATCATCTGATCACTTCGTGTGTTTTTTTTAATGAATTGCATTTGTAGATATTAAAAGTTTATAAAACATAGTTTTATCTATAATCCAACTTTTCTTTTGTGAGATTATTTTTCTTTGTGAGAGTTTTAGCTTTTCTTACCCAAATAAATTAATACTAAATAATATTCATGTGTAGCCAGTTATCATAAAAGGTCCTAAGACCTGAATTAAGTTCCTTCCATGTTCCTCTTGGCCCTGGCTCCTAGTATAAGCTAAAGTCATAGTTTCTCAAGAGTAACATGCTGTTTCTTGCTTTGTTGTTTGTTTTAATTTCATACAAAGGAGGTCAGAGTATTAGTGCTATCTTTGATTTATATACTTATCTCCCCTTCCCTTTGCCATGCTTCTCTCTTTCCCACCCCAACCTCTCAGCCCAACAGTGGAGATTGTAAATTCTAGAAGAGCAGAGATTGTTTCTACTTAACCCTTACATCCATCCCTAATTCCAAGCATTATCATATATGGTGCTACATACACTTAGCACTCACATATTTGTAAAGTGAATAAATGAGATATAAGTGGACAGGTCGGTAACAGTTACTTTACCACATCTTGATTGGTCAGGTGTTTGACTTGATAAGATGGTGAACAGTAGACTCCCCTTTTAAAGTCTTGTTTTAAGACTGGAAAGATGGTATCTGTGGCTCAAACTCCACTAAAGTGGATTTTTGCCTAGAGATAACTACTTGAGGATTTGAATGGCCATTCTCTAGATCAGAAGTTCCCAGAGAAAAGAAATGAATTGCATTCAAAACCTCTGAAGTAGGTAATATAAATAATGAATAAGCCTCTTACACATTACTTTGTCCTTTCATTCTGTGCATCACTGACATTGCCAATATGTGATGTTAAATCTAGATATAATTAAAGCTAGGAAACATTTTAAAGTATATTTCTCCTTTAATTTTTTGAACTTATTTAATCTTTAGATAAAAGTTCACTTTTAGAAAGTTTCATTTTTCAAAGTTCCTCAGGGACCTAATAAAGTGTGAATGATACTTTGTATTCATTTAAATCCTTATTAGATTTCTCTGGACAAAGTTATAAGAAACTATGAAAAATGTGTTTGTCACTCATTTGGCAGCTAAAATCAATCAAATAGGCTTGTAATCTAATCACCAGAGACTATTTTATAGTACAAATACTAATGGAAATAAGCCAAAGTGATCCCCACCCTCACTGGTGCTAGGTTGGAAGATAAACATCAATAAATAAACCCATTACACAGTGACCAACTTTAATCTGCAAATGTGTAAGGTGTCAGGGGTTTTATCTTCCTCCCACAGAGCTGGAGTAAATGGTTTAATCATATTACTCCACAGTACTCAAAAACTGGAAACATGAAGAAGATAGCAAATACTGATTAATGTCATTTGCTGTGAGTTGTGAATGCCAAAATGTAGGTCCCGCACCACCTAAGTTCTAAGATAGCTTATGAGTGCAGTGGTACATGTATTTTGCTCCAAAATGAGTAAACACAGAATTACATGACCAAAATAAAGGTATGGCTCTTCTATATTGTATCCTAAGTTCTTTCCATATACCTCAAGTGGTGCAGGTGTGAAGTTCTGTGAAATTCTGCCTAAAACCAGGAAGCCCTATAGGAACTTAACACCTACTTTAAAAATTTGTAAGCCTCCGTTTTGCATAAAGAAAGTTTTATAAATCAGACACAACCAAAGATTTTTTGTTAAGGGTCATTGTCAAGCTAAAACAACTTTACGCCAACAGAATTTTCTGATTTTTTAAAAATAGTATCTGAGCAATGTAAGTATGTATTGACCTTGTCAGAACTCATTTAACTTTGTGCTGTCACTTTCTACCTTGGTAGTGAAATCTTTAATCTTCAGATTAATAAATTATGTTGTCTTTGAAAATTTTTGTTTCACTTACAAAGTTTAAAAAAAAAAATGATGAGAGAGGTGGCCCACGTTAAATATCAGTCCATTGGCTGCCAGATCTGTTCTTGATCTTAATATTCCTGTTCATGTATATATTCTCTTACCTCATATTTTCACAGACAAGTTTACTGCCAGGAAATGAATATAATAATTTGTATTCAAAACGTTTTGGCAATTAGTCTTCTGGGAACAACCAAATGCCAAACAACATAACTGTAGAAGCTCAAATTCTGTGATACACAAGTACTCAGAAACAGATGTAATCTGACCTTTTCTTCCCAGTCAAAGGATCAGTGCATATGACTTTTGCACATCCTTTGTGCATCTCATACAATGTGCAAATATTTAGTCCAGTTCCTAATTTAGATGTTTGAAGGATTATGTGCTTAAAAAGCAACATTAGTGTAGATGTTACTGTCTAATATTAAAATAAGGAGTGCTTCAGTTAAACAACTAGAAAAGGAAAAGCCTAACAGCATGTTTTGGGCATTTTTATTGCAGAAAGGTATCTTTACTTAATATCTAATGATACGGAGGGACTACTTCAGGATAGAGAAAAACATCTTGTAAGTACCCAGAATTCCCAACAGCAACCATATTGACAACCAATATGGTACCATTCTGCAGAGGGTTTTTGTTTGTTTTTACAACAAAACTGGATGTTTTAATTACTGAATTGGGACTGTGTTTTGTGCCTTAAAGAGATCATGGGACTTCTTTTTTTTCACCAAAGAGTGACAAGAGTAATCATGGACCTTCCTCAGTTTTCATCCTGGGACAGGGGAAGAACTATACCCAATAAGTAAATGTTAACAGACAAAAATAAATTGTAGACAAAAATAAAGTTGCCTATGATTATGTTCCATGAATTATCCTAATTGATATACATATGCACATATATACACAATTCATATATTATTAACATCTTATTATTTTTGGACATATACATATGTGGTAAAATATGTAAATATGCCTGGGAACAATAAACACCCAAGTTGTGGTTACCTCTAGAGCGGGGAGAGAGGAATGGGGTCAGAAAGAGGAGCATAGGGCTTAGATTGAATAAATGGCTTATTATTTTCCATACTTTTTGAAATGCCCTGAAATTTTTTCTTATAAAAACAAGCACATGTATTTGTGAATATGAAAGACCATATCGAAATATTATGCACACCACTTAACATTTTCAGTATCATGACAGGCTTTGATAATTTGGACACAATACCCACCACCCCCTGGGATTTCACTCAGGTCTTTATTTTCAATTTCCTCTAAGTCTTCAGGCCTATTTGTCTTGTTGGTCTCATTGATTGTCAAGAGGCACAGCCTCTGAGCTCTGCTTGTTCACACACAC